GGGAGGTTTTTTAGAGGAATTTTTATTGACGATCTAAGGCCGCGTTTGCAAAAACGTGACCTTGGGGAAGCGGTGAACCCGCGAGAAAGGATGCATTTATATCGACTCGGAATCTCGAAATTCACCGCTATATTTGAAGGATAACGGAATGGGTAGAATTTGGAGAAAGAATTGGAGATTTATTGATTTCGACGACCCGCTCAAGTGGGCACTCGACAAACTCAATTTGTATCTACTCCTTTTCGCCACTGGTCCTTTTGCTCAGTGCTTTTCCGACCACCTTTCCGTGCTTTCTCCAGGTGGGGGTGATAAAGTGGCAAGTGGCACGCTAACCACGCGCACGGTCCGGTATCAAATTCCGGAGCGGTTCCTGCTCAAGTCAGCCAAGCATTCTACCCTTCAGGACGGTACCAGATTCGTCTGGGAGGATAACTGACTTGTACATCAGCTGGCCCCCACAAATCATTGTATAGACAACGTCGCATTCAATAGGCTTGTACGATTCTGAATGGAAGGTGCCGCGTCCCAAAAAGGGGTTGACTAATGGCGAAGACGTTTCCTTCATCCTTATCGTCTTTCTGAGAAGGTCGATCCACCCCCTCATCACGAAAAATTGCCGCTCTCTCAGTCGTTAATGTGAGAAATATGAAAATAAGCAGTAGTTCGGCGACGCGGGAGGGCATTTTGCACTTTCCCCGCTTCACTAGTTCCGTTTACAAGTCTCACTTTGGTGAAACCTGTGAACATTTTTGAAGCTGGAGCAAGCTCGTCGAGCCATCATGGCAAATGGTATTTGTTGTAAGGTATTTCATTGCTCTACAAAAGCTGACTGGTACTCTTTACAAGAAATGACATTTGGTCCCTGCAAACTTTTGCTGGATAGTATCACTTTGGGGGCTCCAGGCCAAAGAGAACTCATGAGTCTCATGCAGTGGCCTACTGGGCTCGACACGTCGTTGGGAAGTTGTAGAACGCCACTTCCTACCCACCTCCCGTCGTCGAACTGCCCCCAAATATAGATTTTCCCTGAGCTCTACTGCAATGAAACTATTACATAAAATGAGGAGCTCTTCTTTCTTTCAAGTTTTTGACGACGTTTCAGTCCTACGCCCTTTCAGGTCTCTGAATTGTAAAATTCTGTACAAAACAATCGCTTAACATCTGAAAAGTTTCTAGCACCACAAAAAAACAGTAAGAAGATGGTGATGGCGGTAGTGCAGGGCTTTCCCGGCGGGGAAGCTTGGGCTTACAGGATTTTGTGTTATTCAAAGGCTGTATTGGAAGGATTCGTTGGAATTTTCAACTATAATGTGTGTAGCATACTATACACTAGAAAGGTGTTTCGCTTTTGGAAAGGAACCTATTATTTTCTGGGCGGAGAAAATGGCTATTTTCGCCACCGCCGAAGCTTCGTTACAATTATGGGCTTCGGAGAGGTATTTTGTACTTTCGTTTTTGTTCGGCTTGGGAGGAGTACTTCGAGGTTTTGTTAGTTCTTTTTTCTAATTCACATCCACTAACAGGTCTCACTTTGATGAGACTTGTAATCCCTTGTGAAGCTGAGGTATGGTGCTAGTGAGCCTACTTTGCTTACAAGAGTTTCCAGGTCTTCACAAGTTGTTGTGCAGGCTTCAGTGAGTACCATTTGTTGTCCACACCTAGCAAAACTGCGCTCAATTATAGTGCCGTTGTTCCCGTGCCTTCTACAGCTCTGATTTGAATATTACGAAAAACAATGAGCAATTTTTTTGCCGTATTTGTATTGTGGGCCTACGGTTGCCCGTAAATGAATATGATTCTTCATTCTCGCCTCGAGCGAAGATACAGTTACAAGCCCAGTAAATGAAGATCGTTACAGGACCTACGCTGGATGCTTTCCGCGAGTTGATCGCTGTACTTTGTGGCGGAAGTCGTGGACAAATACCTTATCTCGACTTTTTGGCGGATTTCACGGAGGTTTGCTTCATCATACATTTTTTTAAACGTTCAGTGCTTATGCCCCCCCCCCCCCACCATTTCCAGTGTAAGTTTTCATAGACTTCCAATGACTGACAGCGTGTCCATGTTGTTACTTTCATTGTTGTGCTACGATGGCAGGCAAGCGGAGGCAGCTAAACTTCTCCAACCAGAGCACGTCGTACGTTGGGGAATTCTATCGGGGAGGGGTCTATTCGGCAGCGGGAAGGTAGGGAGTGGGTCGTTGACTTGAGAAATTTTGTCCTGTATTTTCTTTCCGACAGTTGAACTTAGTAGTTGTTTGATGACGACCTGCTCCTGAATTTTCCAGGGAAAAGAAGGAGCAAAATTTCTGCGAAAAAATGGGCGAAAAGGAGGCCAAAGTGAGAAACATCAGTAAGTATGGAGAAGGGACCGTGTCGGAGGATGAAATCCCGGGGATGGGTCGTATTTTGCAGGAAAATTTCCCAGCGATAGGACGTGCCATGCCTCCGATTCAGTACATGTCTTCCCATGAACTAGCGTACAGGATCGACGTGCCGGTACGGCAGAGAGGTACGGCAGTCTGCGCAGGAGCGTTGAATTGGCGCTCCAAAACGAACCTCAAAGGAAAAACTCAGCATTTGAGTCGAAAAATGAAGTCTTTGCATATCTCAGAAGTACATAGATGCTATTTAGGCAACTCGCTTTGTGGACAAGACGGCTTCAGAGGTCATTGTGGAACTGGTCAAGGATATCTTCAATCTAACGAGCGATGCTCGATCCACAATGAGAGCTCGCAGCGCATCGGCCTCGAGTAAGTTCATTTTTAATGCTTTTCTACACCACGCTTTTCTCTTCGACTGTGCGATAGGTTTTTAGCCCTTCCTCGTGTTTTTTTATAGCTTTAGCTCAGTTTGAATGATCTTTACGGCTGCTTAAGCGTGAGAACGGTTGCTGTCAAATGTACAATAACTTACACTGTGCATTTTTTTATCTGAAAATAAACGACGTAGATGGGACTTTCTCCCTGTGTCCGCCTATCTTCGCAATGCGCCGTACATTTCACTCCCATTCGGAATCATAGTGATTTCCGTGAGTGTAATATGTAGGCAATCCTGGCACCACTTCAGTGTTCCGAGAGGTAAGGGGGCTTGCCTAGCCTGGGCGGAAAATGATCAGAGAACTGACCGTCAGGGAAAAGCCTGGTAAGTGCGCCAGTTACCACTAATCCATTTTAGCCTCAGAAACGTGTTTAGGGCTCTGTAATCACCAGATCCACTGTGTTTAGTTCTAGGGAGCTAGGTTTGGCAAAAATTTTCCCACTGCTTGGGATGGAAGGGTCGGCTCCAACGGGGGCCGATCCGACATCCAATTCCAGACTGTGGGCTGGTATGCAGCACCAGAATCCATTACACCACCTCCGCTAGTTATCGGAGGAATAGGTTTCATACATGTTACAGGTTTCATGAGAGGCAATTAATAATTGTGGTGAGCCGTAGTGGCCGATGTCAAACTGCCTTGCTTATCTCATTCTTTGATTCAACAATGAACTGCTATGCTTGGAAATAAGTGAAGCACCAAAATATCAAATCTAGAGTCCAAAAGATCTAGTAGGTCTTAGTAATTGTCATAGATCAACTCATCGTTAGCTTATGATAATTACTCTGACTCTCTTAAAGTGCATTTATACTTTGCGTCAGCGTTTCGAGCATACGGCAGCTTTTTGAGCGACTAGAAAAGTATAGATATCGATCTAGCGTCTTGAGCGACTGGGGATTTATAGATATCGATCTAGCATTTTGAGCATACGCCAGCGTTCTCAGCGACTGCCCGCGAAAAGCTCGAAACTACCCGCGAAATGCGAAATGCTCGAAACGCTGCTGTGCGCTCGAAACTGTCAAAACGCTGACGCAAAGTATGAACGCAACTGTTCTCATTTGCCGCTGATGATTCTGTGATCATAGAGGTGTTTTTAAATAAATTTTCTCTCAGGAAGCTTGCGGTCATCCGAAGTGGTGCGGAACGGCGAAGCGGTGTCGATCAATCAGTCTAATGGTTTGGACAGTGCCACATCCACCATAGAGACTCCAAGAGAGGCAGTTGTTAGAGATCATGACGAAAATGAACGGGCTGTAGTCGCTCATGGTGAAGGGCCATCAGTCTCGAGTGTATGTAATGGAGTGGTCAGGTAAAGATCTGGAAAATTTCCTTGGTGGTTGCACTTTTTTGTTGATTTTGTTGTTTTTCTACTGTTATGAAGATTTAGTTGTTTTCTAGTAGTTGTGGTTCTCTTTTTTTGTATATGGGTCTCTTGTATTGGGCTGTGTTTATACTTTGAGGCAGCGTCACCCAGCGTTTCAGGCAGTTCAGCGCCCGTGACAAGGAAAGTATAGACATCGATCTAGCAAACGGCAGCGTCCACCAGGGTCGAGGATTGGAGAGTATAGGGAAGCAGGAGGGCAGTAGACTGCTGGTAGAGCATGAGGAAGTGAGGGAGCAGGCAGCTAAGTCGTCGTAAAATTGCGCCTTGTCCAACCGCACCGTTTTATTGCTAAAGCACGTTTTTATGCAATTTAATATACGCTATTGAGTAGTAGTACGCATGTGGACGCTGCCGCAAAGTATGAACGTAGCATCAGATGACTTCGTATGGCTATAACCGGTTTACATCCGTCTTCGCTTTTTAGAAATATCTTTGTTCAATGTGCCGATATGGAGTCTGCTAGTGTCATATTTTTTAGTTCACCATCCAGTAATAAATCTCATGGTGATAATTCTCTGCTGAAGTCGCCTTCCTGTACGAAACCTAAGCGAGGTAGAGGTTCCTACAACGATTTTGCAAGAAATCATTTAATGTACTGTATTATAGATATCTATGCAATAAGAAGCAGAAAGGTCGGCAGAGTGGGGACTTATTCTGTCTCAGGTACATCTTAGCTGAGTTTTTTAGTGTCATGTGCTGGGAGGGGCCATTCCAGCAGGTTCGTCCCGCCCCGTACTGTCTAGGAAGAAGTACAGCAAGAGTTTAAAACATGGTACACTATCTCGATCAAAGAGTGCAGACGAACAAAAGTGACGTGGCTTAGCCGCGTCGGAGATGCCCCCTCCGCAAGCGCTACAGCGCCGGTTTTTTTTACATATTGCCTCCTTTTTGAGGTGTAGTTTACAATTTAAGGTGTGTGCTTCGTTTGTGGCAAAGGAGGGGATCTTATTAACTGTGGCAAGAAATACACCTCGACCAGTTTCTGTACCACGAAATTTCATGAGAAATGCATTGAGGTAAGTTCGTTCTCGTCATTTTCATTCTCGTCATTTTCATCAAGAAGTCTTTTTTCCTAGCTTTTTGATTGACTTCTTTATTTTTCTGTTAGCAGATGGAGTGCTCCATCGATCATAGATCCATCATAGAACAAACAACGAATTATATGAGAGTGGGGGCTGTTCGGCTTGGCAAAGCATTTTTCACTTTCACTTATTCCTTTGGTTGTTCATGTCGAATACTAGGTCTCACTTTGGTGGAACTGTAAACTCTTGTGAATTAGTGAATGGTGCGGTTCACAGGAATTTACGGGTCCTCACAAGTCGGCCTGTTCAAACTTAGCTGAGAACCATTCGGTGCCCCATCAAGCCAAACTGCCCTTGCCAACATAGTGATTTACTACCGTTTTGTTGTTAAGTACGGAACAATGATGCAAGTGTAATCAGGGTACAGCATCACGATGTGAAATGGTAGCATAGGTCTCCCCTCCCTCCCCCACCGAGAGAAGGTGCCAGTACGCACACGCCCCCCCCTTTTACTAAAAACGGGGTCCTCTTTACGAACTCCCCTTCCCAGCAACAATGCTACCAGTTCCCATCTCCAGTCAGTTTCCTCACACCGAGAATTTCCATCAGCAAGCGAAAGGGAAGTAAATCATAGACACAAGATGAAACAGGAAAATACGCATCCAAAAGAGTCAACAACCGAAAAGTTTTGTTCACCCAACAGCGAGCGCCTCTCAATAGGCAACATATGACTCACACTGCACTCGATAGTATGTCGACTTTCTCTCCACAACCATCGAGACTAAATCGTACATCTTCTGACTGCTTGAAGAAACCACTAGGAATCAAGAAATGATAGTCGTAATAGATATATCAAAATATCAGATATACCATTTTCACTTTAAATTCAACGCCTTTTCAAACCAAAATTGTCTTATTTCAAAACCCAATTCGATCACCTTTTTTCAACCAAATTAACACGACCCTTTTCAAACCAAATTCACCCTCACTTTTCATCAAGTTAACCACACTTATTAGGGCGGGCAACTCATCAACCAGATCACGCCAGACATCACTGCGAGCCCCGCCCCGACGGCCACGCCCACTTGTCAGCGCGGACATAGATTCTCAAATCTTGTTTCATAACTCTGCTCATCTGCTGTTTTCCCACAAAACCCTCCTGGACTGGGAACACCGTGTATTCAAACTCATGGCCGACTCCGCGGGTCCATTCCTCTAAAGTGGCACTACCAGGCTGACCCACGGCCACTGGGTTCTTCAGCGAATTTCGAATGTTTTTTCAACAATTTATTCTGCCATTTGTAGGGTTGCTCGCGCTGAAAGCCCCGCCCGGACTGTACGATGCTCCGGCACCCTTTTGAATAATAAGCCCACCGAGCTTTTCAAAAATGGTGCAGATCGGCAGTATAGAGACTTGGCTTGCATGTTAGGGTCTCGTACGTCACTCGGAACAAGAAAATCCGGCAAAGTTTATTCCGAATGATCAGCAATACCCTAGCATGCAAGCCGAAGGCTCTATAACTGCCGATTTCGCACCATCTATTGAAGCGAGCTTATTCAAAGTGGGATCGAGATCTCACAGTGGGCGGTGGCTTACGCAGCAAACCCTAAATCGACGCAAAAATTTTGAAAAAACATCGAAATTACGCGAGAAGCCAGTGGGCGTGGTCAGCCTAGAGTGCCAAACCCTTTAGAGAATGGGCGGAGTCGGCCATGTGTGAATGCACGGTGGTTTCCAGTCAAAGTGTTTGTGGGAAACAGCAAAAGCAGAAGTTATGAAACAAGATTTGAGAATCTATGTCCGCGCTGACAAGTGGGCGTGGCCGTCGGGGCGGGGCTCGCAGTGATGTCTGGCGTGATCTGGTTGATGAGTTGCCCGCCCTAATAAGTGTGGTTAACTTGATGAAAAGTGAGGGTGAATTTGGTTTGAAAAGGGTGAAATTTTGAGTGTTGAAAAAGGAGAATTTGGTTTGAAAAAGGACGAATTTGGTTTGAAAAAGGGTGAATTTAAAGTGAAAATGGTATATATTGTAGACGAGATACAAAATTGTATAGATATGCAAAATTAGATATCCGCGCTGATTTCGATTAATGTTCAAGAGCATTTATTCAGAAGTGCACCTGTTTGGGTTTTTGACTATTTTAGTTTCCGTTTTTTAGGCATATAATGCTGCAGAGTACAGTGTAGACTGTCTTCGAAAAATCGTGGATGAAACTATTTGTCCTTTGCATTTTTGTTCTACGTGTTATCTGGAGCGTTGGAAGACAACAGCAGTACGAGGTATGCCCACTTGTGTTTCTCCACTAGGCAGCGTTCATCCTTTGCGGCTGGAGAACGAGAAAATTAGAGATCGACGTTTTGGAAGGATGCACGCCGAAGTAGGGG